ATGACCCCAAAATTCTCAAAACTATATAAGTTCTATTACAAAATCATGAAACTAAAATAGTATAACCATCTTTCTTACCTTCAAAAACCCTATTGTTTCTCTCTTTCCAAGTAATTCACATGATGGACAAGGGATGAAACAAGGTATGCCCTTGTCCTTACACGACCCTTCCAAAGCCAACAATTCTTTTCTACCTATTTTTTGTCCTCTCTCCTGCGGTACCTAGTCTGTAAACCTTCCAACTTACTACTCATGGATACTTTGAAGACCCATATCTATCACTTACTCCACCTAGACCTCTCCTGTGTGCTAAATTCCCAATTTTTGTTACCATATGTTTTTTCCTCCGTGCATAAGTCTTGGGTGATACCACCACCCTCAACTCCTTCCACTGTCAATCAAGATTGATTTCATGGCAATGCTCTGCCAAGTCACAGGTTGATTTCATATTCATGTTTGTGATATGGAGTGGATAAAATGCCTTTGCCTGATGATGTCATATCATTATCATTCCTTGTCCATCGAACTTTTTCATTGCTTCCAGGGGCTTGAGACAAGGTGATCCCTTTCTCCTTTGATTTTCATCATCGTTATGAAATGTTTAAATAAATTATTGGAAAATGTTAAAGAATTACAGCTATTCAAAGGTATCACTATTGGCCAACAAGAAAATTAAATGGAGATTACTCATCTATTTTTTGCTGATAACACACTCATTTTCTGTCAACGTGATATTCGCTCCTTAATCTTCCGGCAATGTGTTTTACTCTGCTTCCAGGCAGTATCAGGATTGAAAGTAAACCTACACAAATGAGTTAGTGGTTTTGGGCATCTCCTCGGGTGATATACTTGCCATTTTTTTAGGCTGTAAATTATCTCATCTCCCCATTACTTATTTTGGTGCTCCTCTTGGTGTTAAATTCAAAGATAAAAGTTGTTGGAATCCGATAATTGACATGTTTCACAACTGTCTTGTAAACTGGAAGAGGAGGTTCTTATCCAAGAGAGGCAGACTTACATTCATCAAGAGTACACTCTCAAATCTTCCCATCTACTTGTTATATGTACTTAAATATTTCAAGCAGTGTTGCCAACAAATTAGAGGCCATACAATGCAATTTTCTTTGAAGTGATGGTGACAACAACAACAAAAAACTTCATCTTGTGAATTGGAAAGAAATCAAGAAACCATTCAAAGAAGGTGGTCTAGGTCTGAGATCAATCGACAAACTGAATAAAGCTCTACTTGGAAAATGGATATGGAGATTATGGAATGACAACAACAACCTTTGGAAATCAATCATTATGAGTAAATGGTTCAATGGTGACTGCAATGATAACTCTAAAATAAAAAACAGCACTTATGGTTCTAGCCTATGGAGAGGTATTTGGAATCTAAACAACCTTGTTCTTCATAATTCTAGGTGGAGCATTAGCAATGGTACCAAAATTCGTTTCGGGAAAGGTATTTGGCATGATAGAGAAGCATTCCAATCAAAATTTTCAATGATTTATGCGATTGTTAGATACAAAAATATTTTAGTAAAAGATGTCGAACTGAATCAATAGCAAGTGATAGTATCTAGAAACTTGTGAGATTGGGAAATTAAGGAATATAAACATTTGCTCCAAACTCTGTCTCACATCCACCTAACTAGCAGTAATGACAAACTCATTTGGTAAGACACCAAATCTGGTAATTTCTCAATTAAGTCCCTATATAAGACTTTGGTCGGCAATATTTCACAAGAACAGACAAAATTTATAGTTAATATTATTTGAAATCGGGTGCTGCACCAAGAATTTTCTTTTTTGCATGGGAAGCAGTAAAGA